TTTGCAACACTTGGAGAACAGCCACTCCACGCTCCCTCAAAGACCCCAGCACCTGTCAGCCCATATCCCCGTCTCAGAAATTTGGGTGTCAGCACCACAGGTTCTCCCTGTGGACTCAGACACAGCAGCACCATCTGAACATAATCTCCTATGCATAGTTTCAGCTCTGGTAGGCTCTTTTTCTACAGCAATTTCTGAGATCCCAAATCTTCCTTGGTTTCCCCAGTCCTAGAGGTGGTAGCAGCTTCCTGCAGTTGCTAACTCTAGTATACCATAGTGTTGTCTTTTTGCGTTTTCAGTTCTTCAATACCAAGTTAACGAGTTTCTATATGCAATTATCCCTGTTAAACAAAAGTAGTGTAATTTCTGTTTTTGAGACCTAAACAAGCAGCATGGGGTTAACAGAAACAGCTGAGCGCTCTCTGCAGGTAAGTGTGATCAGCTGTAGCTGGAATGCTTTGGGGAGTAGGAGAGGGAAAACTGGGAAAACAGAATAATCCAGAGAAGTCCCAAATAAACTACTATGGAAGAAAAACTGACCAACCAGTTTTTCTCAGTTTTATAGACACTGCTGTATGAATGTCAATATGAGAAATACATCTACCATTATTGTTTTTTTCTGTTTTTTTCTTTTTTTTTTTTTAAGACAGAATTTCGCTCTGTCGCCCAGGTTGGAGTGCAGTGGCACAATCTTGGCTCACTGCAACCTCCGCCTCCTGGGTTCAAGCAATTCTCCTGCCTCAGCCTCCTGAGTAGCTGGGATTACGGGCGCCCACCACCACACCTGGCTAATTTTTGTATTTTTAGTAGAGACAGGGTTTCACCATGTTGGCTAGGCTGGTCTCAAACTCCTGACGGCAGGTGATCCGTCCGCCTCAGCTTCTCAAAGTGCTGGGATCAAGCGTGAGCCACCGCGCCTGGCCCTATTATTGTTAATGGTTACTGTTAACTGTTAATACTAGCTAATATTGATTAAGCACTAAAAATATACCAGGCATAATGCTGACCATTATAATATGTTACCTCATTTAATTCTTAGAATGATTTCATGAGTTAGGAATTAATTTCATGCTTACCTACCAGAGGACGTAACAGATTTTGTGATATTAACTAACTTGCCCAAGTTTGCACCTCTACTAAAAAAGAGAGAAAACACACACACACACACACACAAATGCAAGAAGACTGTAACTTATGAGAAATGACTGTGGATTAGTAGTGACTCTGTAAGCTATGTATCTTATCCAGCCTTGCCATTCTGTTTTTATTTCATGGTATTCTATGTTTATAGGGAACTCTTGAGTATATCCACTAGTGGCAGATGCTTATGTCTTTCTTAGCCAAGTGCCAAAAATGGAAAATAAACTAATGAGAGCACAGACTGCTCAGACAGTCTGTTAACAATACAACCATACTGATCTACTGCACACTTATATGCCAAACAAATTGTACACAAAACAAATAAATGATTTTGAAAGTTGTTCATACTGAAGCTAAGTTCTTGTATAGTAGAGAGTCACCTGAAAGTGACAGCCTCTCTAATTATTTGACTATTTAAGGCCCTTGTTCTTTGGCAAGTAAGATGGATACATCAATCATCCATCTATCTATCTATCTATCTATCTATCTATCTATCTATCTATCTATCTATCTATCTATCATCTATCTCCATCCATCTATCACCTATGTAATCTAATGATTTTATTGAGCTATCATTTCTAAATAAAATGCAAATCCAGGCTTCCTTTTAAAGATGAGAAAACTGAAAACCTGACTCGCCTAAAGTTATAAGGCTAGTTACCATGTCAGAGGCATTCAAACCAGAGCGACTCCATCTTGAGTGAGGGCTAGGAAGAATGAGGCTGGGACTTGCTGGGCTGCATTTCCAGGAGATTAGGTATTCCTAGCTTCTAGAAGTTTATGGTTAAGGGAACAGATTAATAATGTTTACTAAACAGACCCAGGCCCATGAATGTCCTGATATCTCCACATCTTGAGAACAAAAGCATTCCTAATTTTGTTTTAAAGATAATCATATCGAGTCTTGCAAAATATAGTAATTAGAAAAATTAATCCTTTATCACAAACTTTGTGGTAGAGCACACCTCCCCATGGTTTTTGTTGTTGTTGTTGTTGTTATCCTATGGATAAACAAGCATTGTACCTAGGGCGGGTGCATTCTTCCTCTTACTTTTGGGAATAGCCTACTCTGTCTATGGAGTAGCTATAGTTTCACCACCTTTCTTAATAAACCTGCTTTTGCTTTGCGCCGTGGACTCGCCCTGAATTAATTCTTGCAAGATGCAAGAACCCTCTCTTGGGGTCTGAATTGGGACCCCTTTCCAGTAACAGCCAGAACTTGGGTCTCTTACTGTGTCGATAAAACTCCATGTTAGGTGGAAATTCTTTAAATGTGTAAGGAAGTCACATGATAGAAAATAAAAGATGCTAAAATGGTTTTATATAGACAGAGTATAAGACAATGTACTTTATTCGTAGCAAGTGAAAAAAAGCTATAGTATGAAATATCTTTAAACTTATCAAAAACTAACATTTTCAAATAGTATAAAAACAGTCTAGATATCCTTCCTTAATAGTAAATGGGATTATTTTAATGCTGCCAGATGTTTACATCACATTTAGAATAAGTTATTATAGGCTTCTTAATATTTAAAATAAATATATTTTATAGAAATTATAAAATGTTTTGAAAAATCATTCTTAAACATGATTTTTTGGTCAGAAAAGGATAACTAGTGAAATAAGGTGCTTAATTCAGTAGTGTGAGCATAGCAGCAATGCAGTTACAGTTGTGGGTCTGATTCCCAGGGAGGAATCGGCATAGCTCCATAGGCTGATATTACCCACCCCGTTGTGCATATTCACATAGTTGGTTATTGAATCTAAATTGGATACCTAGATTATGATCATAGTTCTGTCACTAATTAGCTGGGTGACCTTGGAAAAATGGCTGTGTCTCTAAGGAGATGAATTAATAACACAGAGTATCCACTATGTGTATGGTTTACTGATAGTCCCCAAGGATACAAAGATAAGCAAAACTGATAATATGTTACCTCATTAGGCAGGGGAAGGCAGACAGACATGAATCAAACACCGCAGAAAATAAATATAGCAATATAAATTAGGAGAGGTGCTGTGAAGTAACAGTGCTGGGTGCTGAGAGAGGGGAACAGAGGAACCTAATTTAATCTGTGAGGGATGTTCGTGCTGAGATCTGAAAGATGAGGAGTCAAGTGAACCAGATGGTGGAGGGAGGTATGAGGAGATGGAACAACACAGAGAAAGGACCTGAGGCAGGAAGAACTTCTTGTGGAACTTACAAAGGGCTCTAGAGGCTGGAGCAGAGAGAATAAGACTCTTTAAAGGATCACAGTTTCTTCTTCTTTAAAACATCTATTGAAAACTTTTTTCTAAGTTTGCATTTTTATACAGTACCTAAGAGTTTTTTTTGGTGTTTGCATAATACTTAAAGGCTTAAAATATATTTACCTCATTTTTTTGATCCAATAATCTATCTATAGTTGATCCTCATCTCTGATATGCATACGTTATTACCAATGTATGCATATCAGAGTTACCAATATTAGTTAAATAACACCAGTTCTCCGACAACACAAATTTTAGTTACTACAACATATAAACAGTAAGTAATTTAATAAAGTCCAAACTTTGCTTATAGCTTTTCCACAAATAAATACATAAATAATAAATGCGCATGATAATAACAATGGTCACCAATCACATTCCTTCTTTCAAAGTCTGTCAATGATTTTTTTGCTGTTCATTGATTATTCACTTCACTCGCTTGTTTCAGATCATTAATTGTAATGCTTCCTTATCTCAGTGATAAAACATGTGGCATTTTACAAAATTGAATAATCAAAAGAAAGAATTGATCAACAAATATGAAAATGCAGCAAAGAATCTAAGAGTGGTAATACTAGAAGTGAAACTCAAATAAAATGTAAATGAAATTACAGAAGAAATAGCTCACTACAGGGATGTTGATACTTCTCCACTCAAGAGACTCTAGGTATGGAGTCAGAGGAACTTAGTAAAGGGAAACTTATCGACATAAGTGAGGAAAGTGGATGTGATGTGATGAAACACATAAAGCTATGAAGGGGAAGTGACCCTGGCAAGAGAATCACACATTGAAAGAACTCTCAGAGATAGTTCACAACACTGATAGAATGTCAAAGCTAATTCAGCTTTAGAAAGGAGTGTCCAACAAGGCATAAAACAGATGCCTATTCCGTATCCTGTCCTGAGTTAGGAAATGAGAAGGTATGCACTGTTTCCACTCCTTCTGATAAGTGTTCTTTACAAAGAACTAAAACACCTTAATTCTTAATATTTTTATTGTTTTAAATTATAGTATACTAAATAACAATTAGCTTTACTCTAGTTTCCTATTAATTTATAAAGAAGAGAATAAAAGTTGTTAATGTTTTGACAAACATGTTTAAGGTCATGAGACAATCCTGTTTCTTCCTCATTGCATGGTTTCATCTTGCATCATCACCTTTATGGCCTCCTATTGTCCTGCGAAGCAGGAACGATCTGTAAATTTTACGGACTCTACCCAATATAGCATTTTCAATGTTTTATTATGTACTTTAGAAGGTTGCAGTTATTTTTCTGAGCTTTCAAACTCGATCTTGAAGGATTCTAAATCAACAAATGACTTGGAAAATGATATTAGTTAATTAAATCTTTAGGATTTTATCTAAATATTAGACACCAAATCTTAGGTTTGAGCACCTCCAAAGTCCTAAAATTCCACGATCCACTGTACTCAAGTAAGTATAATGAAAATAGAAAAATCTGTATATTTTGTTGGGATTTGGTATTTTATTTTTAACTATAAAATATTGTTTTAAATACCATACTCAAGATCACCCATGAATAAAATGTACAAAATGGTTAAAAGATAATTTAAATCATAGGAAAACAAGGATGAAAAATTCACATACCGGTTGTAGAAATCATCTCTGTAGTAATCATAGTCAAAGACATAACCACTAAAGAGGGAAACAAAAAAATTAGTTGGCATTTGTTTCAATGACATTAATTTTACTATTAACTTATGATGTTATAGCATAAAATTTGTTACTTTTAAAATATTTATTTTTCAATGTAATTATGTATCCAAAGGACCTTCCAAGATAATGTCCAATTTGATATGTCATGCCAAATTATTACATGTTTGACAATGTAGAGACTGATAATGGTTTGTGTGGTTTGGAATGAAGATAAGAACAGGTAGCAAAATAAATACTTTAAAACTTTTAATTAGCTATGAATGAAGACCATAGTTTTTCATCTCAGACAAGATATCATATAGTTGTCCTTTCTTTCTGAGGTAATATAATTATCCCTTCTTCCTAAGGTATGTACAATGAGGCTACATAATGAACAAAAGGTATTGAAATAAGATAAATGGAAAGGTTTAGTAACCCATTTGTTATAGAAATGACAAACAGAAATGTAGTTCCTTGGAAATTCAGTATTTTTTAATTCTAAAAACTATGGATTCAATACTTTAAACAGAGAAAAATTAGAAAAATAACTGTGGCTGTCTTACCAACAATACCTTAATATTTTAGTATATTTAAACATGAATTAGTAAATGCATTTCAGTGATAAGGGTATTATGACTAAGCTCCCTAAAGGAATATATTTTAAAAAGTCACCTCCATCCACTTGCCTTGTTGTTTGAATTTATGAAGCACTTTATATGCATTTTAAATACAGTCATCAAAACAACTCTGTTGGACAGCATAACCCGAAGAAACTAAGGTGCAATAGACCTAAGGGACTTGCTCAAATTTGCATTCCTACTAGGTGACATTGCTGAGATTTAAGGGAAAGTTTCCTGATTTCACAAGTGGGGTCGTTTTCACAATACCTCGCACACTCCCCAACCTGGAAGAAGTCTTACTGTGATGATGAATGGAGTAACTGTACCACAGGGGAGTAATTAAAAAAAAATTTTACTTACTCATTTTCTTTTTATTGTGGCAAAACATACATAACTCCAAATTTACTATCCTAATCATTTTAAAGTTTATGATTCAATGGCATTAAGTACATTCACAAAATTGTGCATTGTCACTATCCATTTCAACAACCTTATCATCAACCTAAACAGAAACTTTGTACTCATTAAACAATAACTTCCCATTCCTGCCTCTCCAGACTCTGTCATTAATACAAATACAAATCGTACAATCACAGTCATACAATATTTGTACTTTTGTGTTTGGCTTATTTTACTTAGCATATTTTCAAAGTTCATCCATGTAGTATGTATCAGAATTTCATTCCTTTTTAAGTATGAACAATATTCCATTAGGGTGAGATATATACATACACACACATACACACACACACACACACACACATATATATATATATATATAGGTGCCCATCTCCCAAGACTTTCCACTAAACTACTAAACAAAGAAATTAGAAAACTCCCAAATTAACAATCTAATACAGTACTTGGAGGAATTAGGAAAACGAGAGCAAATTAACCCCAAAGTTAGCAGAAGAAAAAAAAATTGCCAAAAGTGAAGCAGAACTGAATGAAACCAAGATGCAAAAATCTACACAAAAGATCAATAAAACCAAAAGTTGGCTCTCTAAATGAATAAACAAGATCCATAGACTGTTAACTAGATTAACAAAAAGAGATCTAAACAAACACAATTAGAGGTGACAAAGATAACATTACAGTCAATCCCACAGAAATACAAAAGATCCTCAGAAACTATTATGAAGACCCCTATGTACACAAAATAGGAAATATGGAAAAAATGGATAAATTCCTTGAAACACACAACCTCTCATAATTGAACCAGGAAAAAACTGAAAACCTGAACAGATCAATAAAAAGTTCTGAAATGGGATCTGTAATACAAAAACCTATCAACCAATAAAAGCTCACGATCCATTGTATTCACAGCTGAATTCTACCAGACAAATAAAGAAGAGTTGTTACCAATCCTACTGAAACTATTCCAAAAAAATCAAGGTGGAGAGACTTCTCTCTAACTCACTCCATGAAGCCAGCATCATCCTAACACCAAAACCCGGCAAAGAAAAATAATACACAAAAATTGGTAGCATTTCTATATACCAATAACATTTAAACTGAGAGCCACATCAAGAGTGCAATCACATTCATGCTAGTCACAGACAAAAATAAAATACCTAGGAATCAATTTAACCAAGGAGGTGAAAGATCAAGGAGAACTACAAAACATTGCTCAAAGAAATCACAACATAAAATATAGAAAAACACTTCTTGTTCATGGATTGGAAGACTCAGCATCATTAAAATGGCCATGCTACCCCCATGCGATTTACAGATGCAATGCTATTCCTATCAAATTACCAACATTGTTTTTTAAAGAACTAGAAGAAACTATTGAAAATTCATAGGGAACAACAACAACAACAAAAGAAACTGAATAGCCAAAGCAATCCTAAGCAAAAAGAACAAAGCAAGAGGCATCACATTATCCAACTTCAAACTATACTACAAGGCTGCAGTAACCAAAAAGCATGGTCCTGGCACAAAAATAGACAATAGACCAACGGAACAGGATAGAGAACCCAGAAATAAAGTCATACACCTACAGCCATCTAATCTTTGAAAAATTCAACAAAACTAAGCAATAAGGAAAGGACTCCCTAGTCAATAGTGCTGTGATAGCTGGCTGATATGCAGAAGAATAAAGCTAGATCCTGACCTTTCACCATGTACAAAAATTGACTCAAGATGGATTGAATTTTTTTTTTTTTTTTTTTTTGAGACGGAGTCTCACTCTGTCTCTCAGGCTGGAGTGCAGTGGTGCGATCTTGGCTCTGCGTCCTGGGTTCATGCCATTCTCCTGCCTCAGCCTCCTGAGTAGCTGGGACTACAGGCGTCCACCACCACACCCGGCTACTTTTTTGCATTTTTCAGTAGAGATGGGGTTTCACTGTGTTAGCCAGGATGGTCTCGATCTTCTGACCTTGTGATCCACCCACCTCGGCTTCCCAAAGTGCTGGGATTACAGGTGTGAGCCACCGCGCCTGGCTGATGGATTGAATATTTAAATATAATACCCCAAAATATGAAAATCTTAGAAGAAAACCTAGGAAATACTCTACTTCATATTGGCTACGTTTTCAAAAGCAATTGCAATGAAATAAAAAATTGACAAGTAGGACCTAATTAAACTCAAGAACTTCTGCACAGCAAAACTATGAAAGAAGTAAACAGCCTGCAGCATGGGGGAAAATATTCACAAACTGTGCATCTAATAGAGGTCTAATATCCAGAATCTGTAAGAAACTGAAATAAATTATCAAGCAAAAAAACCAAATAACCCCACTAAAAAGAAGTCAAAAGACATGAACAGACACTTCTTAAAAGATGACATACAGGCTGACAACAAACATACGAATAAATGGTCATCATCGCTAATCATTAGAGAAATGCAAATCAAAACCATAATCTCACACCAGTCAGAATGACTTTTGTTAAAAAATCAAAAAACAACAACAGGTGGAGAGGATGCAAAGAAAAGGGAATGGTTGCTAATTCCAATAAATATATTTGAGTATTTACTGTGTAGCAGAAATAGTGCTAGACATATTTGATGCATTCAATAGTTATTGAGGGGACAATCATTTTCATAGAATAGAAGTTCTCAGTATTTTCAGATGTAACTAAATAAGCTCACAAAGGAAATATGTGACTAAATTGTTTTTATAATTTTTTTTGGAGACTCTTTTTTATGCTGTAATCTCAGACAGCAGAATTTAATTGCAAGAAAAAAATATGACACACTTATCAATTATAAAGGTGTTATTAATATAGATGACAGTAATGATTTCCGTTTATATGTCTTATACCTTCAGTAAATACTTCAATGATTGAAAAGCCTTCTGGAATTGTAAAAGTACACAAGAAAAGAAAGTTCATTTTTATTTTTTTTTCAGTTGCTGCTTAAATTATCTCGTCCAACCTGCTTATTTTTTGTTCAGTCCTGACTGCTAAGATGTATTTACAAGAACCAGTTATAGCTAAGTATTCTGAATTGTTTGATTCTCAAGTTCCACTGCCTGCCATCATAAACTCAATTTTACCTGTCAAAGTTAAAAATAAAATGAAATGCACAAACAGACCTGTCTTGGTAATCATGTCAAGCCTGCTTTTGTCTTAATGGTTTGGGCTTTTAGCAGAAATGTCATGGCAGTATTTGGCTCAGGTCATAAGCTATAAAATCAAGCTGGATTTCCAAGAAAGAGAAAGATATTCAAAGAGATTCAAAGATCACACCAGGGCAAGTCTGATTAATGGCAGCTATTGTTTCCCCAGTGTTCCTGTCCCCCTTCTCAGTCCTTTTTTTGCAGGACAGGGTCTCTTTTTCTCTCTTTCCAGATTCTATCTTTCATAAAAATCCCCTTTTTCTTTCTGAGTAAACCTCTATTTGAAATCAACCACCAAAAGATGGCATTGTGAGGAGCCATACTCGGTTTTTTAAGGTATTTTATGTATCCTAGAACTGTATTGCCAAGAAGAATTGGTTTTTCAGTTAAGAAAAATCCCTGCCCCACACCCCTTTTCTCCCTCATGAACTGAGGGTGGTACTGTGATCCTTATGGGATGATCTATTTTAGAGAACTTTTGCAACTCTCACTTTAATAGTTTAGTATGACAATTTGGTTCTTAGGTAACTGAAAACAAAAATGATAGTAAATTAGATGTTTAGGGCACTGTCTAGGATGAAACTCAACCAAGGAAATGCTGAGGTTTTTGTTGCTTGGAAGCATAACCAGTGGCTTACGGCAGGTGTCTGACCTAGAAAAATAAAATGATGGTTTTGAATGTTTAGTGAAAATAAATATTTCGTACTGTTTATTTAAAAATCTGGCACACTTTTATTAATTTTATCCTACTTCTCAGTGTGTCCTTAATCATTCACATTCACATTCTCTCAAAATGTAATGGGGAATCAGAATTGCT